TTAACCTTGGTGTTGCTATTCTTGTTCTAGCTTGAGGCTGTTTTAGTGTTTCTTCTGCTTTTAAGGTAGGGGTACTTACATATTTTGTTTTGTGCTCACTTTTTGAATTTAAGTCTGAGAATTCACTGGAATAAAGTCTGTTGTTCTTTTTAAAGTTAATTCAATTAAAATTTAATCACAAATCTTTTTATTGTAATTTGGAATAAAGATGGTCTTAAATTATAATTAATTAGACTTTACATGTTTATATATTTGAATTAGCTCATTTATACAGGTTTAGGATTGAAAAGATGTCAGCATCAAGTAAAAGGAGGTCAGGTGAAATTTTAAATAAATTCTCTTTCCTCCTTTGGTCATGAACTTTTTCTTCCCTTTTTCTACCCTTATTTATCTTTATTTTTGTCCTTTATTGATTTTACAACACTTTAAAATATTTTTTAATTAAACTTTTTAAAAATAAAAAATCTTAAATTTTCATCCTGTAAGTAATGTTTTCCATACAATGATATTAATAGTTTTAGGAGAGAAGTGCTCAATAGTGATGAGTAGTGGAAATAGCAGATTTTTAAAACATGGTTTTGTATACTAGGCATTTAAAGTAATTTATTGCCGGATTAGTTGATAAGATAGCATCCTGGTTACCGTGATAGATGGTAAATTGGAGATGGGGAAACCATAATTGGGTTAATACTGATTTGAAACTAAATACCATGACTCTGTAAGGATATATATAAAAACATTTGTGTAACCACTAAAACTAACTTAGTATAAAAACACTTAGTAAATTAATGAATTACACTTTACATAGACAATGTTTTTCTTAATGTAAGATCAGTGTGTCCAACATTCAACTAGTGCGTATAGAATGACCCACTTAATTATTCGGTATAACTCACCGAGGTTTGGGTTGGGAGCAGATAAGTACCTCTCAGAGCAATGAGAACTACGGAACTTAACCTCTACCCACCACTACTATGAGCAGATAAGATACTAGCAGGCTTGAATTAATTAATAATGGACATTGGAGTAGAATTTAGTTGATTATATAATCTAGCTGTTCATTTTTAATTCAATTTAGATATTTTATGAAGCTGTAATGTTATTAAGGATTACTTAAAAGAGGAAAATAAGTATGCATATAGTCTAAAATAGAAAAACAATTTTACTTCTGCTTGAGTCCCAATTAATATTCATAGACCAGTGTGGACTCTTCATTGTTAACAACAATCTGTGCAGAGGTGTAGGTATTTATGTTTCAGTTGCATGTGTCAGTCCAAGCAAGCATTAATAAAGCTTAGGTCCCCAAAGTAAGATTAGTGGGAAATACAAAGGTATTTTATTTTTATTGGTTACTAATGGCCTTGTTATGGGCCAAACACTTTATTTAAAAATGATTAGCCAGACATGATATCTGGAATTTGTTTGGAAAAATTCCAGACTGAATTTTTTAAAAATTGGTTTGAGATGAGTGGGCAGGGAAAATAGATGACACAAAATTCTTACTAGAAAATTCCTATAAGTTTTTAAAAAATGAGCTAGTCCGGCTGGGCGTGGCTCAGCAGTTGAGAGTCGACCCAGGATCCAGGCGATCAGGGTTGGATTCCCAGTCAGGGCACATGCCCAGGTTGCGGGCTCGATCCCCAGTAGGGGGTGTGCAGGAGGCAGCTGATCAATGACTCATCATTGATGTTTCTATCTCTCTATCCCTCTCCTTTCCTCTCTATGAAACCAATAAAGATATATTTAAAAATAAAAAATAAAAAATAAATAAAAAATGAGCTAAACAAAAGACCTAACTAAATTCATTCAATTGATTTCATCTAAGTTTTTCCTACTATTTAATTTATCTCAATGTGTGTTTACTGAAAATACATATTATACTATTGAATATTTTGTAACCTAAAACACTTTCTCAAATCTTTTGAATACACGTATGCACAAAGCCTATTTCCAGTATCCTGAAGCGTTGAGAAATCTTTATTGTCGAATGAGAGGTAACATTTGAAATGGGAAGGTCCTCAGTCATTTGACAATGCCATAATTCAGAGTACCTTTGTTACAGAAAAATAAAAGCTAGGCAAAACTACGAGACTTACCAGAAGAAATGTTTTCCCCCTAGAGCCAGCTTGTGTGTATATTTAGCTTTTGTTTTTCACATCTAATTATATAATGACTTAACCAGAAAATAAAATGATGAGAGTAACAGATTCTTGATATATCAGCTTTTTACAGTGTGAAAGCAAATAAGTTTTCATTGGAACTATGGGGAAACATTGACAGAAGAAGGGGGGGGCGGTGAAAACAGGAAAAAAGTATGAAAAGAAAAAAGAAAGCAAGGACCTTTGTTATCTACCTATTTCATGGTTCTTATCCTTGGAAGTAAGTACTCTCTCCTCAGATTTTTTACTAGTCCAAAAGCTTAGTGATTGGCATTGAAAATTAAGTTCTATTATCAGAATTTGAAACCATACTTGTTTTGACTCTTCTAAATCTACAAGTGGCTTAAGTTGTTTATACTATAGTCTGTCTTGAGGAAATGAGCCATTCATTCATCATATTGAGTGCCTGCTGTATGGGCTAGTGTGAAATATGACGGGAATTGAGCCATTTTATTATTTTATTTTATTTTTATTTTATTTTATTTTTGTTAATCCTCACCTGAGGATATTTTTTCCATTGCTTTTTCAGAGTGGAGGGAGGGGGGAAGGGGGAAAGAGAGAGAGAGAAACATGGATGTGAGAAAGCTACATTGATTGGTTGCCTCCCACACGTACGCCAACTTGGGGTGGGTGGGGAATGAACCTGTAACCCAAGTAGTGCCCAGGTACGTGCCCTTGACTGGGAATTGAACCTGCGACCTTTAGGTGTGCAGGCCGATGCTCTACCACCGAGCCACACTGGCCAGGGAGGAATGGAGCCGTTTTAAAATGGAGCCGGAGCAGCCATTCCAGAGGAACTGTCTTCCTTGTTGTGTTTCTTGAAATTTTGGACTGGGCCAAACCACTGTTTTGCAAACAATTTTAAAGTCAGCAGGACAGTCTGATCACAAGGACAAATGATTGTGGATCTTCTATCTGAAGACAGAATCAGTAAGCAATCACGTATAGCCAATAGTAGCTCAACTTGTCAGCACCAATACGAAATTTTTCTTCTTTTCATATAATTATTCCTTTTATTTTTCTTATAAAAACCCTTTGCTTTCACCCTGTAACCTGGATACTATTTGAGTTTCTGCCTGAAACTGTGCTCCCCAGATTACAGTCTTTGATCACAAATAAATGCTTATTGTCTCTCATTTTGACTTTTAAAATTTAGGTTAACACTAGGCTTTGTGCTTCTTGTCCATTGTAGTTATACTGCCTGTGCTTTTTCTTTCTAAAAGCACTATTTCTATGACATCAAATGAATTATCAACTGAAAATACACATTCAAATGTATGATAACATAAAATTTATTCATGTCCAGCCATTATCTTCCTTTTCATACTGTACTTCTTTTTAAAAAAGGTAGATAGGGTTAGATCTCTCCCAAACTCTTATTGTAAGGGGTGAATCTTGAGACTCTTAAAATCTTTGGAGCGTAATGGTGAAATCTTGTTTTTAAAATGTGTGCAGAATATAATGCTCTATATGAGCCAGATAAAGTGATGTTACCTCAGTTTCTCAACCTCAGCTCTACTGACATTTTATAACGGATTCTTCAGTTTCTGTCCATCCTATTCTAATAGTGATCTTTCAGTGAACTAAAACACAGAGAATGTATCTATGTTAAACTCTTAAAAAAATGTTAACCCATTTTTTTGTTGTTGTTGTTAGGCCCTAGAGTCTTAGGACAAAGAATTAAAGATTTATCATTACTCTTTCCAATAGTTCTGACAGTTTATAGGATTACTTCATCACCTAGGTGGTCCTTTGCTTAGATGCTGTTACAATGTTAGGGAATGACTTGGAAATGTTCATAGTATGTTTTAGATACTACTGTAACATTCCTGTAAGGCATTTACATGGATTTATTGGTGTTGTGTTATTCTGATGATGTACTATTTTTATCTTCATTGTAAAAAAATCTAGTTAGCTAGTTTATACGTGATTTTAAAAAAAAAAGATAGCCTTTGATTCCATGTAATCTCTAGTGTTTAAACTAAAACGTAGTCATAATCTTTATGTTCAAGTATACCAAACTCTCAGATATTTAGATTTATTTGTCTATTAAGTGAAATTTAAAAACATTTCACTTGATCAATTATTCTTTTGAAACTTTTAGTTAATATGTTAATGTTTAAACATGACTGGCAAGACCCAGTATTTAGAGGAAATCCTCCTCATAGTTGTTGCCATCAGCTGAGTTAGTTATTCAAGGACACTTGGTATAGAGGTAAATATTGTAAAACAAATTGTTTCAATACAGTTACCTTTTAAGGTCCATTCTAACTTAACATTTATATTTCAGGATTCCCCTGACATAGTCAAAATGGTAAAGGCTACAGTTTTGTAGACTTGAGCTTTAAAAACCAAAATTTATGTTCCATGAAAAGCTATTTTCTTTTGATGATAAATTAGAAAAGTAGTTAGCTGAATGAAGGTACAAATTCATTGTATTTATGATGCTCAATGGAATTTCACTGACCATTTCTTAAATGTTAGAAGAATGTTGTTATATCTAAAAATATCTGAAAGGATGGAGAAAATCAAGAAGCTGGACTTTCTCCCTGTTTCCTCTTAAATAATTTAGTTGTATGTAAGCGAGGAAGGAAGAAAGCTCCATGAGCTGTATGTATTTCAAACAGTTCTGAATATAAGATATTTTCAAGTGTTTATGAGCCTTTTCAGAATATTGTCCTGTGAAAGAGGACCTCCTTATCAATTCAACATAAAGCAATAAGAGTAAATTGAGAATGAGAAGCATTGGTAATACATAGACCCAGAGTATATTCTTCCAATATGAGATTATTAAAAATGAAGCTTGAAATTCTCTAATATTTCTTTTCTTTTTCTGTTAAGTTGCTATAGCCCAAGGTGGAACAATCCAGATTTCTAACCCAGGATCTGATGGTGTTCAGGGACTACAGGCATTAACAATGACAAATTCAGGAGCTCCTCCACCTGGTGCTGCAATTGTACAGTATGCAGCACAATCAGCTGATGGCACACAGCAGTTCTTTGTCCCAGGCAGCCAGGTGGTTGTTCAAGGTATACTTTATTAATCTAATATCTTTAGAATACCTATGGATTACTATATCACACCATTTAGTGGTGACTTTATAGTTTTCTGAAATATACAGGTGGTAGATGGGGGGCACTTAATGGCTTGAAGAAGAAATATTTTAGTACATTAAACAAGTTAAATAAATTATATGATTTTTATATTTAGCAGGTTTTACTGGCTCTACAGGAAAATTGAATTCAAAGTAGCATGATGAAAAAAGGGAGTTGAAAACATGAGTGACTTCTTTAAAGTATCTTTCATTTGAGAGTTATAAATGTTGTACCTAATACATGTTTATTACCTAGTCTATGAAAATTTAAGTATCCAGTCCCATGATGCACTGAATTTGGGTCTTTCTCCAGCTGTTATGCTCAAGTCTTAACTTGTAGATATCTCATTTCAAAACAATTGCCGATTTTTTTTTCTTTAGACTGTTTTTAGTATAGTTGAATTCTGAGGTACCCAATCTATCTCTTATGGGAACTGATAGGAGTGAAATAAAGCAGTTGGATTGTAGCCCTAAGTTTTTTAGGGGAACCTAAGATTTCAGTTAAATTTGAGTTATATATTATTTCATTTCATTCGGTCGTGCTTATAATAACTATAATGTGTTTATTACAACTTTCAAATCCTGTGTTTTTAATTTAATTCTATTCCTCCTGGACCATTTGCTGAGGATTTATGATATAGCATTGATTTTAAGGAGGTAATATTAGTTCCTTTAGTTTAAAAGTCTTCCAAGTTTGGGGGAGGCGCTGAGAGAAAGCAGGTTATAATTGATAAATCTCTTATTAATTAACTTTACTCCTAGGTATTTTGGAGGTTAATGTGGACTGTAATAGAAGTGTTTGAAGAACTGAAGTGATAGCAATTCTGGAGTATAAAAAAATTCATAGTTCTTACTCAATACTCTAATGTTTTCTTTTAAATGTATATTAAAGCCACCCAGTCCAGATGCTCCTTGGTTTACGGTGGGATTACTTCCTGATATGCCCATCGTAAATTGAAAATATAGTAAGTTGAAAATGCACTTAATACACCTATCCTACTGAACATCATAGCTTAGCTGAGCCTATCTTATTAGATGTGCTCAGTTGGGCATATTAGACACAGCTGGGCACAATCATGTCACCCAGTAAATACTGTAGAATATGGGCTGTTGACCCATGTGATCAGGCGAGGTGCCGCTCATTGCACCTGCCTGGCATCAGGAGAGAGGATTGGAACTGATATCGTTAGCCCTGGAAAAGATCTAAATTCAAAATTCCAAGTACAGTTTCTATTGAATGTGTGTCACTTTCTCACCATCGTAAAGTCGAAAAATCATAGGCAAACCACTCAGGAACTGTATATTTGCCTCGTGAACCCTCTATATCTAAATGAATAATCATAAAGAATAATCATTTCTTCTAATTTATTAAGTATAGAAAATCCACCACAAACTTGATACTTTAACAATGAGAGTTTTTAAATTGTTTTGCATAGATAATACACAAGTTTTGTGCTTTTGGGGTTTATTTAAGAACTCTTTTTCTTCCATAAGTCACCAACATATTTTTCTACATAAATTCTATCAGCTTCATAGTTTTACCTTTCCCATTTGGGTCCTTAATTCACTTGAGATTCACCTCTGTATATAGTATTAGGCAGGGATCTATTTTTATTTTTTCTCTATTTTTCCCCTACTGATGGCTTGTCCTTTCCCCATTAATTTATGGGACAGTCTTAATTATATAGTAGGTTCTCAGGTACACTTGGCTCTGTTTCAGAACTCTCTTCTGTACTGTTGGTCTCTTTCTATATGCCAGTATTATGCTGGTTTGTTATCTCACAGAACAAGTTCCTCTTTTTCTGTCTTTTTAAAGCTGATTTAGCTTTTGTGAACCATTATTCGTCCATATGCATTTGGAATAAGTTTGAGTTTCTAAATAATAATAATATAAAACCAATGATGATATTGCATTTCATTTATAGATTAATTTAGGGAGAACTTAAGTCTTTCTTTTTTTATTGAGATATAATTGACATCACATGATATTAGTTTCAGGTGTACAATATAATGATTTGACATTTGTATAAGTCACCACAATAGGTCTAATTAACACCTATCCCCACACATAGTTACAAATTTGTTTTTCTTGTGATGAGAACTTTTAAGATCTACTTTTTAGCAACTTTGAAATATACAACACAGTATTATTGACTATAGTTGCCATGCTGTACTAACATCCCCAGGTTTTTGTTGCTATTTTGAATGATTCCTTTCTATTACATTTTCTAATTGTTGAAAATTATAGATAAATATTAATGATTTTTTAAAAAAATTATCTTGCCTGTTAACCTTTGAAACTCTAATGACTTCTAATAATATGCTGACCTTTGTGAATCCACCTGTGATACTATGTGAATATTTATATCAAATACAAATAAGATGTTTTGTTTCTTCCCTTCCGATCTTTATTCTTCTTGTTTTCTCCTTGCCTTGCCTCTCTTTTCCTTTCCTTTTCTTCTTTTTAAATATAATTTTGGCCAAGAATTCTAGTTCTGTGTTAAACTGAGCAGGTCAGTGAGAATTCTTGTCTTACTCTCTATCCCATTGAAAGGTCAGGGCAATTTCTTTTTGAGATCTCAGTTGTTATCTTGATTGGTCCCTCAGCAGCATTTAACACTGTTGACCTCTGCTTCCTTCACTTCCTTGATACTGCATTCTTACCATTTTTTCTTGTCTTTCCTGGCTCTCTTTCAGTCTCCTTTATTGGTCCAATCTTCCTCTGCCCATCTCCTAAGTGTTAGTAGTGTTTCTTGGGATTGCATCCTGGGCCACCTTCCATCTGACTTGGGTACTGTCCCTAGATGAACTCATCCCTGTTCATGGCTTCAGTTCACTGTGACTATGCCCTTGACTTCAACTGGCTACTTAGATATCCCTCACACATCTCCGACTTCTTAAATCCAAAACTCCACATCCACTTCCCCACCCCAACTCTCCTTTTGTTTACTCTATTTCAGTAATGGATTCTGCCTGACCTGTTGCTTCAATCCAGAAACCTGGGTATCATGCCTTACTCTCCCTTGCCTTCTCCATTCATTCTTCCTCCTGCTAAATCACACATCCCTTCACTCCTCTCCACCTCCACTGTCATAATCCCGATTCCAGCTGCTGTCCACTCTGACCTGGATTCCTGCAGCAGACTTTGGTCTGCCAGGTATCTGGCATGAAGCTTGTAACTATGGAGCAGCATACTGATTTTCCTAATCATGCCAGGGGCAGCATATCCCTTCTTGGCCCATTTTTTGGGGGAATTGTTCCTGAAAGTTCAGCTAGGCTCTTTCTTCATCCCTTCTAATGATTCTGGGAGCTAATATTTCTTAAAAACAAAAGTATCTGCTTCCAAAATTTCTTTTTCTCCATTATACTCTTGATTCTGCAGTTCAGAGTAGTATTTCTAAAATTCATGTCTAATCATGTAAGCCTCCTGCAAAAACCCTCCAACAAATGTCTATTACTTGTTAGACAGTCAAAATCTTTAACATGTCCCAAATCTCTGCTTGATCTAGGCCTTGCTCCCTCTCTCTCAACTTCTCCCTCTTATGGCTGGATTTTTTTCATTTCATGTTGTATGCTGTGCCCTCTCTCCTCTCTAGGCCTTCACACATAGGCTTTTGCCCTGAGACATTGTTCATGTTTCATCTTGGATAGCATTTCTCCAGGAAGCCTTCCCTGACCTCGACATCTGGCTTAGTTCACCTCTTGCAGTTCCCACTGCACCTTCTCAGGGTATATATTACTGAATTGTGACTCTTGGGGTCCTGCCTAGATGGTAACTTCTGTTTGAACAGGGATTCTTAGTCTCCAGCATGGTCCCTGGCATATGATAAATATTCAGTAGCCATTTACTGAATGAAAATGGAATACTCTTTCTCTAGTGAAAATGTTATTAGTTCTGTGTGCGATTAACTGAGTTTATCAGGTCCAGGGAATTTATTAAAACTTTACTAATAGTAGTCAACTAAGCAACCAACATCCCTCTTTCCTTTCCTTCCTTGACCTGTTTTTTTATACTAATATTTATTGAGCACCTAAGTACCAGTTTAAAGAAATGTTGAGAATAATCTGAGCTTTCTGCAATTTGAAATAAAACCGACTAGTATTCTTGGATCCAAACCCTTACGTGTGGCTGTGATGACAGAGTCCTTTACAGAGCCTCTGACGGGGTTGATGTCTAAGGTGCTCCCCAGACTTTCTTACATATTAGCAGGATGTCTTCAGTTAATGTGTTCTGGAGAATTACTGGAAACGCTGGTCCTTCCTGATGTTTCTCCTCCTAAGCATCTGAGTGTAAAGTCCCTGCTTTTACTAGAAGGTGCTTCATTGAATAAGGCAAAACTGTAGTGGGCTTCAGGTTGGTTTGAATTTTAATCGTACAAGGGACTGGGCTTTGTACAACCCACTGATGAAGGTAAAAGTTCTCAATGACATGTCACTTACTTTTGTGCTGTAGAGATACAAATCATTTTTTCCCTAGGCTGTGGTGCTGTACTGTTGAACAGGTTCCAATTTTGTGTCTAATGTTGGACTTGTTAAATTTACAGTGATCCAGCTCTTCATGTGCCAAACCTTAATTAAGTGAATAAAATTGGACATATTTTTTAAATTTATGAATGGTAACTATGATTTATTTATGAATTTTAAAAGTCACAAAATTATTTTCAAGGGATTTTAATTTATTAAAATAATGTATTAGATTGAGTCACATGTAATTTCTGTTTTTGTGGGCCAAAAAGGTCAAATATGAGCAAGTTCATATGGTTCAATCTATTTATGGAAGAGTATTATATAACACTTGCTATATTTGAATTTTAAAAATTTCAGTATCTACTCCTTTCAAATGAAATTAGCAAATTCTCTGTCACCCTGGGAACAGCTGGATTTTCTGGCGTAGCAGATAGAAATGTGTTACAAGTAAACAAAGGTGGCTAGGCATTTCTTTCTTGGAGAATCTAAAAGTATCTGCGAAATACATTTCTGTGTATTTCACAGCATCTCTCTGCTGATTGTCACTTGTTTACTTATTAAATCTCTGAGTTTTTTATCCTCCAAGTTATCAAAAATCTATAGGGCTTGTGCCCCCTTTGTTTACCTAGAAACCTTGGACAGAATAATAATAAAGAAGTAGCCTCATAAGAAACAAACAGGTAACTTTTAATGCTAATGAGACTTTTTTTTTTTTTTTTTTTGCCAGAGCAGATTTTTATGTAAAAATGAGAAACAAGAGCATTTGATGGTTTATTACAGGGTTTTTATAGGGCTTTGGTTTCAGTGAGCTTGTCTGTGACAAAGCAGATTGATGGCAGTGATAGGCTAGTGATGTCATTGTGATGTCAATACTGCCACTTATAACTGCACAGGCTTGCTGGTTGGAACACTGTGTTGACCTGTGAGAGGAGGAATAGGGCAGTTCTGTATGCAGAAACCCATCATGGCTGTAACTGGAGATGAAACCGGTAAGAACTTCAGAGAAAGATTTAAATTCTGTAAAATTATTTCGAAAGTTTTGAAAAATTATTTACGGGCCTCTGAGTATTTCAAAAGTATTACTTTACTAATAGCTGAGGAATTTCTTATCTATTCAGTATGCTTTAAGGCATCTTAGTGTAATTGGTTCTTTGCTCGGTATTATATTACTTGATCAAGGCAGTTCTCTCTCTCCCTTTCTGCTCTTCTAAAATAAGCTGTTACTTCATCTGCAGCCTGTTGCATATCCAGTGCAGCTACAAGTTAAACATATATACTGTTCAAGTTGTAAAAAAAAATAAGCTTCCGATTTCGTGGCTGTGTACAAATACAGCTCCAAAGCAGACCAGCATGTTGGGATGTTGTGTGCCTACTTGTTTCTTTGCTCGGGTGTCTAAAATGGTCTGTTCCTCCCTAATGGAGTTCAAAGGGCTGACGTCATTGCATTTCCTGGAATCGTGGTTCCTCAGGGAAGTGGAAAAGTTAAACTACAAGCGGGCTGCACATTGACGTCAGCCCCCCGCCCCCCCGCTGTGACTGAGTCAGTTCCTTTCCTCTCCGTGGAGCAGAGCGCTGCAGACAGCGTGAGGCTGTTAACTAGCTCCCGAGTTGCCGGTCCCCGAGATCGCTCTTGGACTGAGTAGCTTGACTTGTAAGCCTCACTTTAGCGTTTCTCTGCAGGTAAGTATCTGCTTTAGAAAGCCGGCCCCACCCTCCCGTGTGTGGGCAGATCCCCGGAGCCCTGCGCCACTCCGAGGCCCACAGGTGCGGGAAGCCGGGCTCAGGGCCCAGGAGCCCTCACCCCTTCGCTCTGCGGGATCTGAGACTCACGGAGCCCTCTAGAGCACAGTCAGGGAAGTGCATGTCTGAAAATCGCCCTCCAACCGCATTATTTAAACCTGTTCCCCGTAATTCTTTCTGTGGTTTGGTGTTCTTAGTTACTACAGGTAATGCTTCTGGTTTAGTTGCTTATGTCCCTTACTTATGTGGTTGCAATTTTGTTTATCAAGTGGTATCTTATTTCTAACCCAGTACTGATTTGCATTTGAATTCATGAAGAATGGATAGCTGTAAACAGCTTGCTCACAATTTACCTCATCAGAGTTAGTGAGTCTCAGCTCCTCTTTCTAAATAGGAACATTCCATTGTCTTGAGCAAGTGACACCTGTATTAAATTGTTTTTAAAATTATCTTGAGCTATTGTTTTTCTCAAAGAAATGTAGTTTTAGAGATGCTAGATAGATTGCCGAAGCTCTTAAATGGCAAATTTTTTTATAAGATATAGATGTACTTAATCTCAAATACTGCATGTCACATGATTCTTAGAACCAAAAGGCATTTTGTGCATATATTTATTTTCTAAAAATGATTAGTTTGTTTATATTTTTCTTAACTAAGCCTTTAATTTCAATTCAATTTCCATTTGACTTCTCTAAGCATGACAGAGAATCATAACAAAAAATAAAATGATTTGAAAAGACTCAGAATATATTTACAGATGAACATTTGAGGTAAAAATTTGCATACATTTTTAACCATTGCTTGTAAATAAATGAACATTACCCATAATGCTTATTCATGACTTACCCTTTCCAATTCAAAATTTTCTAAATGCTGAAACTTTAAAATGTCAGACTTTTTCACTAGACCTCATTGTGCCTTTGGAAATCTGGTCAATTCTGACAGAATCAATTCTGTTTGAAATGCTATTTGAAAATGGAATGGATATTTCCTCTTTCTTTTTTTGTTACTTTTTTTTTTTGAGGTGGATTGATATAGATTATTGGCTTGCAAACTTTTTTACCATGACCCACATTTACATCATGATGCCATATAGACTTGTGTGTGTACCCTACATTTATATAAAATCTACTTCAAAAGTAATGCTTATCCTTAGTATATGTAATGTATTCATACTTTCCTACTTCTTTTTTAAAAATGATATACTTGACCCATGAAATTGATTTTATGACTCACCAATGGTCTACATCTTACATTTTGAAAAACTGAGCTAGACCAAAATCAGGCTCCTAACCATAATGACTGGCCTGGAAAAGTTTTTAGGAGCATTTACTTATAGGATCATGGAATTGAATGTGAAAAGGGAATATTTATAGTTTACAGAATTATATTATTCTGTTGGATATAATTTATGTTTTTATTAGAAATAGTTTGGGCCTTATTTATAAGCTGATTGTTAAGAATCTAACTCTATCTTTTAGTCTCTGGGTCTAAAAAACTCTAATAAGTTGTATTCAGCCTGGACATCTGAATTATTAAAAAACAAATATTCCAACTTATTCAGATTCGAAAAATAGTATCTTAGTTAATATTTGATGCATGAGAATAAGGATACATTTCACCTTTGTGAAAGGAAAAGGTTTTTGTTTGGATATTTTCACATAAAAGAATGATTTTAATCAGGTCTAATAGCTTCTTGAAGTTGGTAGCAAAGCAAGTTATAATCATATTGGAAGTAAAAATATAGGAGTCACTTATCTACCTTAAGTTTCAATAAAATTCCAAATCTTTATGAAATTGCCATTATGTTGTTTTCCCACTGTTTGAAAAATGTTTAATGAAAGGTAATGTGGGATAGTTGTTTCACTTTTCCCAGTTTTCTTTGCCTATATAAACATACTACCTAATAAAATAATACTTTGCATTTATGTAAACTTTAAAATAAAAATGTTGCAAATAAAGAGAAATATAAATGTGGTAAGAACTATCAAAGAAACTGTCAGATCATGAGAGACCCACAGGTAATATAGGTTGAAGGATCAGAGTAGACTTCACTGAGGAAACCATATTTAAATACCTGCAAGGAAAAGCACTTTCCATGCATTCGCCCTGATGTACAGATATTATTACGTTCATTTTGCATATAACAACACAGATTAGAGTGGGTAAATGACTCTTCCAAGCTTATACATCTAGCAAGCGGTGAACCAGTTTGGCTCTTCAGACTCTTTACCTGGTTCTGTTCACACCGTGTAATGTTGCTCCTCAAAATTCACCTGACATTGATAAACTAATGCTAATGTTAGATGAGTTATAGTAACATACTACACACTGCTTATAAAACATACAAAATGAAGTTAGCATCATTTTAAGTAGTCAAAATGGATTTTTTTCTGGAGTATTTATTATTCTCCTAGGACAGTATGCTTGTTATTATATAGAACTTTAAATTTCAATACTTATAATTTCTCATTTTTAAATAACGTTTTTTACTTGTAAGATTTTCTCTTAATGCACAACTCATGTGTAACTTAAAGTAAAAATTATTTCACTACTTAATTTTATGTGGTCTGTGTTGTAACAAATTTGAAATGTCCAGCGCATAAACAGCCATGTCTATGTGGGATTTAATTCTGGAAAACATGGAGCAATGGAGGAGGGAAACTTTTTGACAGTGTAAGACACCAGGCAAAGACAAGCCTGATTTGGGCATTAGGAGAACTAGTGTGGTAGTAGGGAGGGAGAGAACCAAAACAGAAAAGTGAAGATGTCAGTAGTTTTCTGGAGCGCCCTGCCTCTGAGTATGACTTCTAAGTTACCTCTGTTGCTTATTACTTAGGTGTATTTGGAATTAGTGACACATAGTGAAATGACATACGAAGGTAGGAGCTCCATGTATAAAAATTGTTTTGTTCAGTTAATGTGCTCAGTACTATGGAGATCTCAATAAATAAATAAGTAAATAAGTAAAATCACTGTTTGGGGTGTTGATAAACTGTTTCACTTTGGAACTTATCAGGATGGGCATTTGGCTGGGTTTCTTATTTCTTTCGTTGTTAGGAAGAAACAAACATCTCCTTGACTTGTGGGGTTTTTCAGTTTTTTTATTACCAGTGTGATGAGATATCATTTGATTTTTTTTGTGATTCTTCACTTTCACAGTTCTATTTTAAATGATTATATACATTTAAAGGGATATTTTGTAATATTATCTTTTAATAGTTTATTCTCTAAATGGTTATAATAAAATATAGTATAAATTTGAAAAGTTTTTAATAGGCATGTTTTTAAACAAAATAAGGAATAAGAGCCATACATGCCAATCATTCTATTACCTGAGTTTGTTAGAAGGGAAACTCGAGGGGAAAATATATTTATGGATGTTATTTGCCTTTTCATTAATATGCAGTATAAGCATAATTTGGAACATTGTCTTTCAGAACTTAAGGAAGGGAAGAGGAAGGGAACTAACATTTGCTGAATGCCTACCATGTGCCAGGCACTGTGCTAGACACTTTGACATACATTACAGGGTTTATTGTGAGTATTAAATGAGATAATGTATCCCCATTTTACAGATGAGGAAACTGAACTTGCCCCAAGTCACATGGCTGGTAAGTGGCAGAGCTGCACTAGAACCCAGACTCCAAATCCCATGCTTTTTCTGCTGTACTGTGTTTAAAGCACAGAGAGGTATGAAGTTAATGACCAGAATTGAGAGTTCTAGGAATTTTCTTTTCCCATGAAATATTTGATACCAAACCTAACACATTTTTTTCATGCCAGGAGTTAGATAGTTGGAAACACTATAAGTAGAACTCCTCTGCTTCTGAAATGCCGGGTTAGATGACTAGTATCTAAGGGAAGACTTAGGAAATAGTGCCTTTTATCAAGAAAGGCCAGTTTGAATAAATCTTTTAAGACTTTCCATGTCTTAGTGTTAAAGACTTACCTATAATTATAATAAGACTGCTTATTTGAAACATTCCAAATGACAGTGGGCTTGTGCAAAACCCTGGGAAGTTCAACATTTACTTCATAGTGCTCAAGTAAACTCACCAATCACCCATTATATGTCAGGTACTGTGCTGGATCCTAGGGATGCCAAGGTAAAAAAGGTACCTTGACTTATCTAAAGTTTTGCTGCCTTAGAATAAAATTAAATGAGTGTATCTTTTTTATTATTATCTTTCTTTAATTATGAATTTAAACTCCCCACTGATGACCATTTATTTTCAGAAATAATTTATACAATGAAATTCTAGAGTAAAAAATAATTTGGGCCCTTTTAGTAGTTAGGTGGAACAGGAATTGCCTTTATTAGAGTACAGGGATACAAACATGCCATCAAAGGATGTAGGATGGTTCTTTGAACTGTGATACTAGGTATCTTATCTGCTTTAGATTACCACTGAATTCATAATATTGGAAATAGAAGCTAACTTTTGTATAAAACTTTTTTATAACTTGTTTCAATAACAAAACTTTTTGACATTTGGATTTCCTTAAAACAAGAGCTTCTCTTTGCCCATATCTTTTTAATGTATTCACTAATAAGACCATATTTGAATATATGGAATTTTTCCATTGATATTTATTCAGTGACTATTAGAAGTGTACCATGATCAGCAATTTATTTATTTATTTATTTTTTTAAAATATGTCTTTATTGATTTCAGAGAGAGGAAGGGAGAGGGAGAGGAAGGGTTAGAAACATCAATGATGAGAGAGTCATTGATCGGATGTGAGCCCACAACCTGGGCATGTGCCCTGACCAGGAATCGAACCCCAATCACCTGGATCCTAGGTAGACGTTCAACCGCTGAGCCACGCCTGGCTGGGCAGCAATTTATGCTAATTACTGCTAATTTATACTAGTTCATATTTCTGGCTTGAAGCAATGCGCTACAATCTGATTTTTGTTGGCGATGAAATGAATATATAGTATTTCTGAAAAAACGTGATAAAACCAGTTTGTTAGCTAACGTTTGAGAATATTTTTAAATATATCATCCTGTTGAAGCAGGGTAGTAAGAAGCTAGGAAAATTCTTTGGCAAGTAGAAGGGGGAAGCTGAGACAGAGAGCTGAACAAACTGGTGGAGCAATTTACAGCAGATACAGAAGGTCACCTCCCTAGAGATAACATCTAGGCCTCAGTTGTATTCCAGCTCTAAGCCCAGAAAAGCAGTAAGACCAGATGGGCAACACCAGGACCAGCAGCAATGGCTAATGACCCCTGCCCTGGCGCTGACCAATCAGTAGACACGAAGACCCTGAAAGAGCACACCTGGAAAGCTGATGAATATGCTGCTGAAACCCTCCCCTGAGACCTCCCGTAAGATTCCCACCCGCAAGAGAGATGAAAACCTTCAAGACAAAGGACCCAGCACACACACATGTGCCTTTCCCTTCCCCCACGCCTCCCCCCACAGGTGTGCATCTCCTAAACTCAAAGGGTCCCCAAGAGACTTGCAAGTAGGGGAGCAATGGGCAGTGGCAGCTTGGCTAGGCTAATCCCCTGAACCTGTCCCCAAGGCCCCCTTTTTTTCTGACTTTCCAGTGAGCTAAAGCAGCCCTGCCTAGCTCTCTCCTGTGGCTTCTTCTATCCCAGGCTCCTCCTTGTTTCACTGTCCCCAGCTTTAATAAACATCCTCTCAATCAGCTGGACTTGTGTTGTGAAATCTTTCCTGCATGAAGTCAAGAATCCACGTACTGCCTGCTGGTCCTAGGCAGACCTGTTTAGGGCCAGGTCTCTTTTCCAGTAACACTTTCCAACTTACCATTTTAGGGTATTTTTTTCTAAACTATTGCTCAAAATGTTTTAAGAATGCTGCTTTTGAATCACCCTTATCCTTCACGGTGCCAAATTTGGTCTTTTGAAAGTGGCTTCAGCTTTTGGAAACTGGCAAAAATTTAGAACCATTTCTGATTCTTAGACCAATGAATGAACTTTCTTTTTCATCTGTGAAGTATTCCTGCCTTCCCTTTTTCGTTTTCTTTTAAATGGATACTCTTAAACTAACTTTTGTATATTGTATAAACATACTGCTCTAACTTTAAGTACAGAAAAAAGCAGATGTATACAAAACTAGAGAGAATAATGAACTCTTCTGTACCTTTGTAATAACTTTGTTGCACTTATTTATGAGCACTTTGACAAGAACAACCCTAGACCAAGGTCTGTATTCATGCTGCCCGCAAATGTCAACATGATGACATGTAAACTTCTCCTTCGTCACTGCTATTGTTCCAATTTTAGAAAGCCTTTGTAGGCTCCAGCTGTTCCATTGTTTCAGCCTTTATTATACCATAACCTTCTTCCCTGATGTGGGTAAAGAGAACAGAGAAGAGAAATGTTATTCTATGCTTCGATCTTCTTCGCTACAATATGATCTAAATATATTTTTAAAATTTTTAGTAAGTTAACAGTTTATAACTGACTTGAAAATTCTCCCCAAATATTTCAGTTATAAAATTTTCTAAGTATAATGAGACATCTGTGTATATAGAATTTTAAATTTTAAGATTTTCCTCAAGTTGGTGATCATTATTTATCAGTTACTAATTATTTCTTAAATTATATATAGAAGGAAGAAGCAGTAAAACCTTATAAGTGGTATTTTTATTAACCTTATGAAGACCTCTGATCTTTGCCCAAAGCCATATTTTTATTGTTTTATTCTTTCACCTAATTCTTAAGCCCAGGGGAATAAAAACCTGGCATTTACCCCAAAAAGAAACACATAGATCAATTTTAACTAACCTTTTAATCTACTTGGCTGTTTTCAGTGATAATCTATTTACTTGAAAAAGCAGTTGTCACCCTTTTGAGTAAAATTTCAGTTCTTACTCAGTGGGTATAATACATTTTGATGGACTATGGAAGAGATGTGTTTCATATTTTGATTAGCATTTGGTTCAGACAAATTTTTAGAGGATTTAATAACTTTTTAAACCTATTTTCTTGCATTGAGTTCTGAGAGAGCATATCTTTTGTCATATCTCATCAGAATGTCACATGAACTCTGGATTGCATGTTCTCAAAGTTGAAACAGTGGCTGGTAGGAATGTTTCATCATTTCAATCCATCTACCTTAGGAAGCTGTTTATTGCAGTAGATACACACATTTTGAATATAAATTAAGACACTTTGAGGACTTTAATATTCTATTTGAATATTAAATACTAAATCTGTCATTTAACTATGATCATACTATAATTCGAAAAAATATTTTTTAAATGACTACATTATTATCCCAATAAACCTAAGATAGACAAAAATTGCCATTCCCCAGAGAAACCAGTTTTAAGTAGAGCTTTGCTGTTTTTATTTTTATTTTTTGCTTATAAATGAAAATACAGCAAGCTAGTAATTTCCTTCAGTCATCTTCTGGTAATAGGATTTGCACTTAAAGACATTAGGTGAGGGTATAGGGTACAGGAAAATCTAACTGGATGGAAATGTTCTGCTTAATTGAAATTTTCACACTGGCGTGCTAGAGCCAGCTCCCACTGATTTGCTAGAGCTGATTGTTAAATTTTCAGGATTTTTGTGAGCTGGTTGTTAAAACAGCTATTAAAAATTTAAATATATATTTAACAAGTTACTTAAAAACATTAATAAATACTCAGAATTTATCATTTATAATTTTTATCTGTACTCTTGCAGTTATTTACATCTATTTTATCTGTGTGATGTGCTACTTACTGTGTGTGTAATCCCAGCTCTACATTCAGTGAAGTCGCACTGGTAGCTTGAAACTCGCATAGTGCAAGTGTTTACATCATGAAAATCGACATGCTACATATAGATCAGGGCTTTTTCCCAGAGAGCTGGTTGTTTAAACATTTATCAGCACACAACTGATTTTAGGGCCAATGAACTCTCAGTTGAAAAGCCTCTCTACTTTTAGCCTTTGATAAAAAACTATCTAAAATGCTTTAGGGCATTTTTCTACCTTAAATACTAAATATCATTGTTCCAAGTGCTGAAAATCTTTGATACCTACGATTTCTGTAATGCTCAGAATAATCATCTTAAACATCAGCAAGATCACCTCTTAGGACATGTAAAAAGAAGTATGTTATTTCCAGGTCAATTTTATATAAAATACCAAGTCCTAAATTGTTTATATAAGCATGTAATATTTTATTGCAGCTGCCACTGGTGACATGCCAACTTACCAGATCCGAGCTCCTACTACTGCTTTGCCACAGGGAGTAGTTGTGGCTGCCTCACCAGGAAGTTTGCACAGCCCCCAGCAACTTGCAGAAGAAGCCACACGCAAACGAGAGCTGAGGCTAATGAAAAACAGGTAAGATGGTTCACTAGAAATCAGCAACCACTTATATGACATAATTTGTTACTGTGGGGCTTTTTAAAAAATTACTTTTCCTAAGTGTTTCTCCCAAGTCCAATGTTAAGTGGCATTTTATGTGGATTTGTGCTCAGCATGTGATGATAGATTGTCTGGTAGTCAGCGTTCCTAAACATGAAACTATTTCATTAGCAGGAGGTTCATCCTTATGTGCTAGAAAGGTAATGTCTGAAGGATGCACTAATTTATTTTTAGTGATGTGAGAGGACTTTATTACAAATAAAATTTTATTTTGTACTTGGTATTTACTTTCTGAGTCAGGCGATAAGTATAATTTTCTAGCTTCTTTTTGAACAAAATAAATTTGTGTGAGTTAAGAATTTTCTGAAGTTTTTTACGTTTCATTTTATCTATTTTGTAACTTTGTTTTTTCTTGATTATACTGAAATAAATCTTTATTCTGATAAATTCTAGTCAAGTAAAAATGCAAAACAACAGAAAGAATTACTCATAGCTCCACCACTTAGAGATGCCTACTAATACGATAGTATATACATTTCCAGCCTGCTCTCTCTCCTTTTCTCCCTTATTCTTGCACCCTATCTCTGTAACTTTATTATTTGTTGTTGTTGTTAATACTCACCTGAGGATATTTCTCCCAATGATTTTTTTAAAAAATATATCTTTATTGATTTCAGAGGGAGGAAAGGAGAGAGAGAGATAGAAACATCAATGATGAGAAAGTCATTGATCAGCTGCAGCCCGCAACCCGGGCATGTGCCCTGACCGGGAATCGAACCCTGATCTCCTGGATCCTAAGTCGATGCTCAACCGCTGAGCCACACCTGGCCGGGCTCTCCCAATGATTTTTAGAGAGAGAGAAAGGGAGGGAGGGGAGTGAGAGAGAGAAAGAGAGAGAAACATAGATGTAAGAGAGACACTTCCATTGGTTGCCTCCTGCACATGCCCTGGTTGGGGCCCGGGATCAAACCTGCAACCCAGGTACATGCCCCTGACCAGGAACAGAACCCGCGACCCTTCAGTGCACAGGCTGATTGATGCTCTAACCACTGAGCAATACTGGCCAGGGCTGTAACTTTATTTTTTAAGAAAGGCTGTATATCATACAAATGCTGTTTTCCAAAATTCTTTTTAAAATCTAGTTTGCATATCATTTCTTCATTTACTTTTTATTGTGGAGAATGGTGCAAATTAATCTCATTTTCAAAATGAACAGAATAAGAATAGTCTGTTTTCCCAGTAGTCTTGTCACCTTATTTCTAGGTTTTAAATAATGTCCTCATTGTAAGAAAACAAAACATTTCAGATGGAATCATGTGCTTGCCTATGATCGGGACCATGTGGTAGTAGTTAATTTACTAGGTAATAGCAACCTACTTAATGTAGAAATTGTTGCTTCAGAGCCTCTCAAATCCAGAAACAACTGCTGAGTTCATCACTGTCCTTTGTAACTGAGTGTGAAGCAGAAGCAGCTATATTCAGTTTACTAATATAGCCTTTTAAATGTCACAGTTTGATGTATTATAGGACTTCTTACATTTGCTATAGCTCCCAAGCTTATGAGTTATCACAAATCATGAGATGGAGTTTTTACCCTATGGAACTCAATAGATTACCAGAAATAGGATCATTAGATGCATACGTCTATATCAGTAGTTGTTCCAGGTTTATAAGTCATGCTGGATTCACATTTTGCATTGTCAGTATTTTGTGCAGAAATTCTGAAGGGCCTGAAAGGGCAGGGCTCACATAATATCATAAATGTTTTGTGGAGATCTTGTTATTAAAGATCCCTAACTTTGATCAGATAGAGGAACATGGATACTTTAAAACTGCACTTTCAGAGATCTCAAGAGCTATGAATATCATTGCCCCTCTGGTCATAGAATGTACATTGTGAGGTTCAGTTTAGAATGTAAAGTGTGATGACTGCAAAATTGTTCATCCATGTCTTATTTTCCCAAAGAAAATAAAAAGGAAGAACTAAGAGGGTAGCCTTCTTATCTCCCTTTTGTCATTTTATACCTTTATTTTTAGATTAAAATTTTTTGTCAGAACTACCAAAATAAAATAGAATATTAGGCAGTGGGTTCCTATAAAAGGTGCCCCACAGCTACCTACGTTTACATATCAACTCTCCCTAAGGAAAAACATAATAAAATTGGGGGTTTTAAAAAATAGTTAATTATTATTGGATAGCATTTGTGTTTTGGCTTAAATAACCAAAGGGAATGGAGACATCATCTTGTAGGTGGTATTTTGATCTTTTACTGCTGGTCCAGAGGTACGTGTAGCCAGAACAAAGGTTCCACAGTGTCTTCAAGGATCCAGGCTCCTCCTCCCTGCTCTGTCATGTTCAGTGTGTGACATTTGTTCCTGTGATCACAACATGGCTGCCACACCTCCAGACATTACATCAGTCAGGAAGAAGGGAGAACTGGACCTAAAAATGGGGGCTGGTTGAGGCTGACCCTTCTAAAAACTTCCTGGAAGATCTGCCAGCAACTTGCACCCACATTTCATTGACTAGAGATAGCTAATAGAATCCCTATCTGCAAGGGATTCTGAGAAGGATCTATTTTAGCTTTCCAAATCTCAATTTCAGAACAAGACAAAAGATAAGCAGATAATAAATGGCTATTAGGTTGCTCAGTGTCTATTGAGTAAGTATCATATGCAAGTTTTAAGTGCTTTATAACTACTGCTTCTGTAACTGTCACATAACTTTCAATGAGAGTAGGTCTGGTTATTATCCTTACCTTACAGATAAGGAGCTAAGGTTCAGAGAGTTTATGTAGTAAATTGGTTAATGTCACATGGTGGAAACTGAACAGAACCTAGATATGCAATCAGGCTTATTCCAGAGCCTGTCCACTGCACCAACACTAGTCACTCCAAAAAGACCTCAGTGTAAGTTTCAGATTTAACTTCATGGAAAGAATGTAGGTTTTACTCATTAATGTGAAAGGCCTTTTATACATTTTTCTCTTTTTATTCTTTGGCTAGCATTTATGATGGATATTTAATTATATTTCTACCAATCCAGCAACAGTTTTTATTTCTTTACAGCCTTGTCAGCTTTTCCTGTTTACCATGTATTTTCTCTCCATGCTGAAGATATTTCCAGACAAATCCAAGGCCTGAAAACTGAGCTAACTATTAATAGAAGAAACAGGTGTTTTCCCTATCTGAGAAGTACTTAGGAATGTGCCATCTACTAGTGCAATCATTTAAAGCTTTTGCTTGGAACATTGACTCTGGTAGCATGCACATGCACACACATGAAATACCCAGTATGGGTATTCACAGTGAATAGTACAACTTGGTAAATAAAAATTTAAAAATTAAACAGCCCACAACACTGCTGTTAGAGATTTAAATTTTCATTTAATGGTGACTTGTTTTGTAAAATGACTATCTTTCTTCCAGATCTAGAATTTAATATAATGATTTAATCGTGGAAACCTTGGTTTCATTAAAAGTATTTTAGTTCCTTTGTGGAAGAGTTGAATTGTCCTCTCAAACTGGCAAATTTATGTGTGCTTGAATTTATTCTTAACTTTTCCCTAAATGATTAAACTAATCATTTAGATTAATTTAATCTGTATTTATCAGATTCAGTTCACTTGTATATTTTTCCTTTTTTGTCAACCAGTTGAGAAGTCTGAGAACTTTGTGGGCTCACAGGGTGAGCACATTGTTCTTGGCTAGGAAACAGGGGTGATCTTTTTCTGCAGGTTCATTGGGATTTCAAGATCTCCTCTTTTCTGCTGACTCTTGCTTCCCACAGAGAAAACACAGATAGCAAGTTGTTGGTTAGAGTCACCTATCCTAAAAATAAAACAGAATTGGCCAAATCTGTTGTATGCATCACTCCTAGTTCAGAATTGTGCAGTGGTAATTGGCATTACAGTAACTGGTGTTTAGACATTCAACGCAACTTCTGTTAAAATATACTTGAGTTGTCTTTCAATGTAGAATTTTTTTGATATGAAGGATACCCCAAAGGCAGTTATTCTGAACTGAAAACTCCAAAGTAAAACTCTTAGCAGGATACATCCTATGAAGAAATTAAATGATGTAGTTCCACCTCCTCCCATCCTGAACAAAAGGAGAGAGAAAATGTTGGCTGTGTTCATTGTTTTGGTGTGTGTTTGGTTTGTTCCTTTTGATGGGGTTATGCATGAAAATGACTGTAACTCATCTGTTTATCGTGTTTGTTACTTTGCTGCCCGTCTGTCCTTTCCTGTGGGCATGTGCGTGGTACTTAAAGTTCAGTATGTTGGATGGTAAATGCATGTGATAAGAGAACAGCCCCGATGCGCATTTTTGTCATTCACTGGCTTCTTGTCCATAGTTTTAATCGTGGTCTCTCATTCCTGGACTTAAATTGTCTGAATTATTGAGTATTTAGTATGTACCCTCCCTTCTTTCCTTCTTTAATTTTCAGAAGCAGAGTCCATTTCATTTTGGTTTATGAAAATGTGCATGATTTATGATTCATTTATTGTTATTTTTATCCATGTTGTTTCCCAGACAATAAATTGTTTCTTGCAGTCATAATTGATTTACTGTTTCACTGAGGTTTAAAGAATTTAAAATCTCCAATATTGATATTTAAGTTTTCTGAGGATTACTTTTTGTAATCATTTTTTATCAAATAAAGTTAACTCATTATGATGGAATGTGTGGCTTTTGGTGGACAAAAATAACTAAAATAATTGAAAGGATCTGTAATGTTTTTGTAGAAATCCCATTTGGGAATGTGGTTCTATTGTTTTAGGTTACTGAGAACCATTCTTGTCACTGTTATGGAACGTATGCTCTAAGAAAACACCATTTGCAACGAATGCTGGTCAAATGGACTGTGCTCGCAAGTCGTTCCTGTTGTCTTAGAGTCACCTTTAAAAAAGGCATTTGCTTGGGTACATTTGTTGTGTGGCTTTGTACAGACCTTATCTAGGACTGATTGGCTGTTGAGTTTGGGGTGCCAAAGTTCCCTGAGCCCCTCTGGATTGTGCTGGGAGGTTGTTCCTGAGTCATTTGCCTTGTGTTGGTTCCAGGGAAGCTGCCCGGGAGTGTCGCAGGAAGAAGAAAGAATATGTGAAATGTCTTGAAAATCGTGTGGCTGTGCTTGAAAACCAAAACAAGACTCTCATTGAGGAACTCAAGGCCCTTAAAGATCTTTATTGCCATAAAGCAGAGTAACTGTCTTTGACTTGGACCTTGTTTGCTATGAACTCTAATCAAGGCAGGAGATACAGCAATTCTACTAATTGCCATGTGGACATATGGAAGGGACATTTGTGACCCTTAAGAATCCCGTTTGGCTTAGTGTTTGAAATTGAATTGGGAATGTTGTTCCAAGATTTGGAGTACGACCATGTCACATATATCAAGCTTGCTTCAGTCTGTTTTTTAATAGCATGCAAAAATTGTTTTGTTTGCCCTTTTCCTTGTACTTTTTTCAGGGAAGCTGCTAAAGAATGTCGACGTCGAAAGAAAGAATATGTAAAATGTCTGGAGAGTCGAGTTGCAGTACTGGAAGTTCAGAACAAGAAGCTTATAGAGGAACTTGAAACCTTGAAAGACATTTGCTCTCCTAAAACAGATTAGTAGAAATATTTAACTATGAACTGATTACAACATGTACAGTTGCTTTTGAAGGCAATACAATATGTAGCCGGCAAGAATTATGGCTTTTTCCTTTGTATCATTCATCATATTCTCTAATTTCTAACATTCCTAAAATGCTTCATTGTACGTAGTTAACTTAGCTGTAACTTCAATTTTTTAAAAGAGACAAACTGTAAAAAATTGTATTTAACAAATTCTTAAAATGCAATATTTGTAAGACTTGTTACAATGCCACATATTTGCAGTCCCCAATCTCTGTGTCCTGAATAGTGTCCTATGCAATAAAATTTTCTGCAGGTCTTTTAAAAATTATTTTAGGAAAGGATGATCAAAGGTAATGCATCCAGCAGTACAATAAAATAAACCGCAAAAAATACCTCAGGAAAGAATTGAAAGAATCTAATGATATGCCTTTATGAAAATAATAGCCTATAAATGAATTTATGGCATTTGCAGATTTTTATATTAGTTTCTTTGTAAAGAAAATACTGTGTTGCTGTCCTTGAATGCCATAGTTGGAGAATGTTTTTAATAGAACCATGTTGGTTACACTTGTAGTGTTCGGTGGTCATTTAACTATCTGAACATTTCCTACAGTTTTACTCCATTGTGTAATAGTTACAACAAATTGTTAATACCTGGAATGGGTTAGAAGTTAGAGTTAGAACTGTATTTGCATACCTTCAAGGTGTGTGAGCTGATTTCCACACTGGGTCTGATTTCTGCAAATGCTCTTTCTGTCATCTCATCAGAAGGATGGTCCCAGAGCAACTATCAGAGGTTCAGCTGTGTGATGGAGTCGGCCCTTCTGCACATGGTCTGCAAATCTGCTGAGAGCCCTCTATTTTGAGTTATAGGTAACAACTATAGGAGTTTTAAAGTAAAAACAACTCAAGATTTTATTTTTCATTTCAAAACAGCTTGAAGCCTACATTAAATCTAGTATTTTTATGTCAGCACATTTAGATGAAGTTCATTCCATTGAGACACCAGTATTATTGCTGGTATCCACATTTCATTCTATGTTTACAATAAAAAACTTCAAGGTATAAGCCCAAAGCCCTGACCATATGATGCTATGTCGTCTTTCATTCACTCATGAGACCTTTGTTGAAGGTCTCCTCTGTGCTAGACTCTGCTATATTTTCTACTATAACTTCTGACTTGTTAAGGATGCTGCCACCCTACCCCTAGTTTCAGCAGAACTAGTCAGTGCATATAGGGAGGCACCGCAACAGGAGGCCATTTATATAGCATCTAACTGCTATTCCCCCCCTGTCGTAATTCTGTCACTTATTTGTAGCTCCCAGAAGGCATGGCAGACCAGTTTGGACTTTTTTAAGAAATACTTATTCTTCCTTCAGAGTCTGGGCTCTGAATTTCTTTTATCTGAATTTTTGTCTTCTACAGAGAAGATGAAGAAAGAAGACAAGGAAGTAAAGAGGAAAGGAAACCCCCAAGTTTCAGATGAAGGAAAATGGTGCTTTGTACTTGGTCAGTCAGTCAGTCATTCGTTCAGTTAGACTCAGTAATCAGCACACAAGATGTAGAAAGTTAGAGGCAGTAAGTGTTATGTGTCAGAATCACAGAAAGTGTAGGCAGGGATTTCATATTCCTATGGGAGGCAGGTTTTGAACCGGACCTTGACTTGATAGTGCTGGGGAGGAGGATCCTCCAGACAGCATCCAGAGCACACCTTCTACTCCAAGGTACTTGAATTTAGGAGAGGGGGGAGGTCAAGTTAATATGTAAGAATTAGTTTGGTGTAAAAAAGAGTGTGTGCGCTTCACTATAAAATAGTTGTTTCAGAGGAGGAGGATTGCACCTGATTTCTTGGGGCCAGAAATAGATGTCCCCTCCTTTACCCAATGCTTTAAAAAATAAAATTTTAGCCCTGGCCGGTGTTGCTCAGTGGTTAGAGCCTCAGCCCATGCACCAAAGGGTTGCAGGTTCGGTCCCTGGTCCTGGCCTGGGTGCATGCCAGAGGCAATCAATCGATGTGACACAGCAATGTTTCTCTCTCTCTCTCTCTCTCTTTCTCTCTCTCTCTCTCCCCCCTTCCCCCTTCCCTTCCACTCTCTAAAAATCAATGGGAAAAAATATACTGTGGTGAGGATTAACCAAAAAAATACAAATAACTAAATAAAAATAAAATTTTATTACCTGACCAAATAAGTCCAGAGGTAGGAAATGCTAGGGTCGCTCAATGTAGTGACTGAATGGCATCACGACCAGAGCCTTTCCATCCTGTTCCATGTTCAGGCTGTGTCCCCTGATTCTAACATTGCTGCCACAGTTCAGGCATCAGAGAGGAGACCGGCAGCATCCCTTCCTTTTGTCCTGTTTGAAAAGCAAGGACAACTCAGAGGATCTTCAGCAGCACATCCCCTCTGAGTCTCTCTTACTAGCTAGATTTTCACCATCACCAGTCACTGGCAAGGAGAATGGAACTGAAAGCACTGGATTACTAGTGAAGATTGAGTTTCTGGGGCTGGGACAGCTCAAGGCCTCTGTGAAGCCATCAATATCGAGTAAAGCAGGTTCTGGAAGAAAGGTGTGTGTGCAACCGACAACAGTTGCTGTCCAGAGATGGTGGGTGCTTACACTGCTCAGGAAGGTGGGCACAGCTTGCTATACCGAGGGCTTCAGCTGAGCTCTCAGAGGTGCACTGGAACTGAATTCTTGCTCATTCAGTTTATCCCTGCAACCAAAGCTCTTGCTACTAAAATAGTATGATTTTATAACTCTCCACTTAGCCTCCAATGAATACTGCCTGCAAATGTGCTGAACAGAGCAAGCAGTAAAGTGGAAGCTGCATGGATATCTACATCTTGTACAACATAGTTGCATAGAATCCAGAGCTGCATTTGTGGGTTTTTTTTCATCCTAAAAGTTTTAGAATCAGGACTTTTGAATATAGAAATTACTGATCCTGGATCATGGGACTACACCATATTGTCATATTTAACTAGGTAGTTCATGATGTTGAAACATTCGAAATGGGGAAATAAAGGAAATGAGCTTCTCTGTATTGAAATGTGTTTGAGCACCATGTTTGCCTGAAACTGAGGATGTTCCATTAGCAACCGTACTTCTCAGTTTTCTTCATATTCTCTTCTTCTGTCTAGTACATGCTGCTTCCTGTGTGCCTAAAATACACCTTTAAAATATGTAGTGAGGACTTGTGGAACCAACACAGTGTTTTTCTAGATTACAATAAAAATTAATTAAGCAATTTGGACATATTGAGATAAGCAGAGCTGTTGCCACATGGCTAGCCATGCATTCATTTCATTGCAGCAGACCAAGATGATCAGAAACTTAAATGTGTCTCTTCTTTTCTAAGGTTGTCCTAAAGATGGAGGTCTGATTCTGAATTACTTAAGCGTGGTATATCTTAATCTTTATGCTTTATGTGTAGCTTTTTTCTACATAAATTCATTTTCTCATAAGTACCTTTTTAACACTGTTCTTCAAAATCCATTTTGCATGTCATAACTTACTTATAATGAGATTTAAGATCTTTGTTTCAGGGCTATTCTCTTTACACACATAAAAATAATTCCACCAGGGATGGAAAATGATGAATAAAAGGAGAAAACTAACGGCTTTGTTATACTAGATTGTACTTGCTCAAATAAAATGCAACCTTTGTTCTTTCATTTTTTTGGTTTATTTAATCCTCACCCAAGGATATATTTTTATTGATTTTTGAGAGAGGAAGGTAGAGGGAGAGAGAGAGAAACATCGATCAGTCCTGGGACTGAACCCACAACCTGGGTATGTGCCCCCACCAGGAATCAAACCCATGACCTTTCTGAGCACAGGCTGACCCTCCAACCAAATGAGCCACACATGCCAGGGCAACCTTTATTAAGCCAGTCAATTTTCAAGAGGATGCAGAGCGTTTTCCAGATCTTTATTTAAAAAAATATTTTGAAAAACAGCTTTGTAGGGTTATTTGAACTAACACCCACACACACTGTATTTACCCTGTTCTTTTAATTTGGGCCTTTATTTCACTGGACAGTAGGTGAGAGTTGTAGATAAAGCCCTGTGCCAAATCTACAATAGGAATTCCTTTGGTTCCCTTGTGCAGAAACCAGTCAAAATCTGAATAATCCTGAACCAAAAAAGATTTCTGACCTTTTCTGTCCTCCCATGGCTTCTTCCCAGACCCAGTTGTTGGGTGCATGGGTGAGGCAGCACAGAAGGGAGCTCAAAGGGAAGGCATAACTTGTTTGTTTCTTAAAAAACAACTTTGAGCCCAGCCAGGCGTGGCTCAGTGGTTGAGCATCGACCTGGGATCCAGGAGATCGAGGTTCAATTCCCAGTCAGGGCACATGGCTGGGTTGAGGGCTCGATCTCCAATGACTCATCGTTGGTGTTTCTTTTTTTAAAAAAATATATCTTTATTGATTTCAGAGAGAGGAAAGGAGAGGGAGAGACAGAGCACCGCAATCCAATTTTAGAAATTTTCATTGCCCCCAAATAGACCTGATACCCACTAGCAGTTACTGCCCCTCACTCCTTCACTGGCCCAGGCTTTGAAAACCACTAATCTACTTTCAGTCTCTATAGATCACAAAGAACTTCTTACAAATGGGAAAATATACATAAAATTTACCTTTTTAACCATTTTTATAAGGTTTTTAAAAAATTGTGGTTAAAAAAATACACATGAAATTTGCCGTCTTTACCCAGTTTTTAAGTGTACAGTTCAGTGGTGTGAGTGCATTCATGCTGCTGTGAATCAGATCTCCCGAAATTTCTCACCTTGCAAAACTGAAATTCTATACCACAAAAAAGTTGTTCAATGGGCATAGAGTTTCATTTTAACCATTTAAAAGTAGTTTAATGGCATTAAAGACATTCATTCAGTTGTGTGACTGACATTTTTGTCATTTCAAACTAAGGCTGTATTCATATATTAGTATCATTACCCAAATTATATCATTATGTGACAAGTTGATTCAACAAAACTCAATGAGTTGTAATACGCCCATGTAAATAAAGTGGCGATCAACATAAAGCCTGAACATAGACCGGAAGATCATGAATTATAAGCCCCATATTCCTTCCCGTAACCAAACCTTATACTTAAAAAACTTTTTTTGATATACAATATTGTACTAGGTTCCGGCGTACAACATAGTGATTAGACATTTATATACCTTACAAAGTGACCCTCCCAATAAGTCTAGTATCCATCTGACACCATACATCCTTATTACAATATTATTAACTATATTCTCTATGCCGAGGCGTAACATTTTTAAAAAATATATCTTTATTGATTTCAGAGAGAGGAAGGGAGAGGGAGAAAGTTGTCATTGATCGGCACATCCCCAACTGGGGATCGAGCCTGCAACCCCAGCATGCGCCCTGACCAGGAATTGAAACCATGAACTCTTGGACCCTAGGTTGATGCTCAGCTGCTGAGCCACGCCCGGCCAAGCCTGAGGTGTAACTTTTTAAAAATACAAATTATATCTTATAAATTTTCAAAAATTATCATGCTAAAAAATATTTTTGACGTTCAAAATTCAAAAGATAAAATGGTATACAGTGAAAAGTCAATTTCCAATC